CCTTTGTTGAACGAAGGTAATGATCGAGGATGCACTCTCTCTGATGGAAACCAAAGTTGTCAACAGCCGTTTCAATCGTTGAAATTTGTTTTTGCAAAATATATTTATATAAAGATATACATATATATTATGGTTTCAAAATGTTTGCAAAAGGTTTTAATTCCCGGGATCCATATGAGTAGAGAGTGCAACATTGTTCCTTGCAGCCGAGGGAGAGGTCCTCTCTTGTCAGGCAGTGTTTGATCATTATGGGCTGAGAGGTTAAGTGTAAGACCATTGAGGTGGACCAGCATGGTTAGCCCAAGTGTGAGGTGGACCATGTAAATCATAGCAAAAATTAACAATGTGCCCCTCTAATCCACAATATGTGCATTTTCTAGGTGCATTACTTCTTCCTCTACCACAACCTCCCCCTGACTCTCGACCTCCACTACGGCCACTAGAACGATTAAACATAGGACCACCTCAGTTTCCTAGAAACCCACGGCCACCACCTCTATTTCCATGACTTCCCCCTCTAGTCACCACAAAACCATATTTGTCCAAGAGAGAAGAAGACTCTATAGAATCAATAGATATTGTCCGAAGACGGGCAAACACTTCTTCAAGCGAGGGGAGAGCAGACCCCCCCTCAGTATTTGTGCTCAAACAGGTTCATATTCAGACTTCAGACCCACTAGAAACCTTGTCACATCAAGTTGCTCTCGTTGTTGCTGAACCTGAACATCCGGTGTCAGAGGATGATATACATTAAGCTCATTTCGGATATTTCTCATGCTTGCATAGTATTCCTCCAAGCTTTGGTTACCTTTCTTCAAATTAAAGTACACTTGGCACAGCTAATATATGCTAGTAGTATTATCTTGGCCGAAATAAAGTTTCTTAGCATAGTCACAAATTTCTTTAGTTGTATCTAGGAACATAAAATTCACACTGGTTTTAGGTTCCATGCTATTCCACAACCAAGTCATGATTTGTGCATCCTCCTGTTCCCAATCACTGACCCTAAAGAATCAGAGAGGGGTTTCTCCTCTCTTACATGTTTTACCTTTTTCTTGGCTTTTAGAAACACCTCCCCACATAGTTCTCACCATTCAACTTAATAGATGTCATTTGAACATTTAAGTAATCTGGAGAAATCACAACACCTGTTTTATTGTCACTCTCATCTTCATTTGATGCCATCTTAACTAATTCACCTCACTTCACAAAGGAATCRCTATTATAAACAGAGTATTCRCCTTCAACTATTCAGCACCACAGTACACACTACTCAACAGAATATAATTATGACCACACTACTACTGTCACGAATTCAGCATTCGAAAGCCCTACTTTCAACTCATATATCCAGGTATAAACAAAAGGAAAAGAGGCTTATATCGATTCACACTATCACATAAATGAAATCTAGACCAAAAGAAAGCAGCCACAGTCCACTACTGGGCGAATAGATATTTTTGTTCATACCTGTCCACAACTAGCCCTCTCCGTATCACCGAATAGAAGGTATCTAGTACACCACCACAACGATCACCACCACAGTAACCRGAGGCATATTTACCTCCAAGAACAAAAAAACGACCACTCCTTTTTGGCCCCTTATCGAACTTCCGATCTGTCTAGAAGATATTTGAAAAAAAAAAAACGGATACGACTGGCAGCGAACTCAGGAAAAAGAAGGGCGATGAGAAAAGCAAAAAACTGGTTTCTTATTGCTCTGATACCATGTAAATAATCATATTCAGTCCTAGGTTCGAAGTCTGAGAAGGGTTCGGCCAATAGAGGAAAAGTCCCTCTCTCTAGCCGACCCACTTCGTATTTATACTGAATAAGTTGAGCTACAAAAAGACTATATTGTCCCTTACAAGTGATGAGACACATAACTTAAACTTGAATAAAACAGACCTTTCACTTCTAACTAGATAAACCAAAAGACCAAAATACCCCTATACTATCGACTCTAACACAGCCCAAGCACACGCGCCTTTTGAAAATCTATGCATATTTTCTTCTTTTTGTGCTTAGCAGATGGGAGTAGGCACTAGACAGTAGTGTAGCTTTGCCCCATGCGCTTTTTTGCGCCTTGCACTTCTATAACATTGGCTCCAACTTGTGGGAGAGTGTTAGAAGTAGTTTATTCTGTCTTGTATTAGGCAGTATTGCATCTTTGTCCTACTCCAAAATTGTAGAATGGCCATTTTACATAAATTGATTACTAATATACAAGTGGGGGCATGTAAAGAACTAGTTCTATCTCATATGCCAGACTTTCCTTTCACTCTATATGTTCTATATCCTCCTCTCTTATTGAGGCATTCCAATTTGAGGTAAAGCACCATCATTGCAGACTAGGCAGCTAGATATTAAGAGGATAGATAAAAGATTGACAAGTTGGTTAACTGTGATTCAAGGTTTCGACAAAGCCCTATGGAGATGCARCTCGATGAAGGAAGATTATAAGCAGCTAGCTCAAGATCAACCTCAAATCATTGAGTAAAACAAAGTTAAACATAGTGTATGCTGCACGATCACTTTGAAAGGTGTTTCTGTGATGGATTTGGGCAAACTTGAAGAATTAGTGTTCCTTCACCGGTGCATAGTCCCCATAGCCAATTAGTCCTGAAAGCAAAGCAACAATGTGTCCTTGTGCATTTCTAAAAGCCCCTCCCACCTGATGGACTCGGATTAGCTACACTACTCCCATCAAAGCTAAGCTTGACAAAACCCTCCTCAGGTGGTTCCATAGAATACAGATTTTTGGTTTCTTGGATGAAGATGCAGCCACCACCCCACCACCCCAACCTTTCTCCATAAACCATCATGAGAAAAAGGTGGGAAGAACACCATAGATAGCCCAATGCACTACCCTAGCCATTATGCATTCAAAGATTACCTGCTGACTTTCTCTTCCCCTCCTTAAAGATTCTGACATTTCCTTCCTCCCAAATTGTCTAAACTATTGCAGCCCTTGTGCACCTCAATGGAGTCCTTCCTCTTTTTCTTTTATTGGGTTGGTTTTAGTTGAGAGTAGGTGGGATTTTGACTTTTTTTCCCTGTCCCTCAGGTGACTTGCAGTTGCCTTACTTGACTCAGTTGTCTCCCTAAACCTCTTCTTTTACGATAGCAAAGACTCAACCCACCTCCGTGGATAGGAACCTTCAATGACCAATCTCACCTCATAGCTCTCTCCAACATATATAAGGGTCAAAAATGAATCTCACACACCTCAACCAAGATATGAGCCGCAGAGAGGTTTCTCCAGGAAATCGTTCTACAATCAACAAATATGAAACTCCCACAAGCATCTCCCATTGCTTTGAACATCTCAATATGAACCATCTAAAATAGAACAGCCCTTAGATAGTCTACAAATGAAAACACATTGTTGC